AGAACTCTACTGCCCCAAACCTCTATTGCCTGCATTTGAGAGCATTGTCCTGGGCTAGGGGCTCTGGGGGGCAGCTCTCTGCTACTTTTAAGAGCTGGTCAGTTTTCTTCTGTTGGTGGCAACTGACCACAATTCCATGCCCCCAGGCTTATTTGGGCTGGGAGGTGGCTGAGGCATCTGGGGGCCTGCCAAAGGACTTGGCTGCTACCAATGGAAGAAAATGGACTCTTCAAAAGGAGTAGAGAGCTCTTTTCTGAACCCCCAGTCCCCAGGCACACAAAAGCAGAAAGCCCCACCTCACCTGGCCACTCCCTCCACTCCTACCATTCACCCCAAATAAGCCTTGGATGTGCAGAGCCCTGGTCAACTGGCACCAACGGAAGGAAACTGGACAGGTCTAAAAGTGGCAGAGAGCTGCCTCTGAGACCCCATGCACAGAGAGGGAGGAGTCCTGGCAGGCCACCCCTCCACCCCCAAATCATCCTGGAATGCATCAAACCTTGGTCGGTTCCTGGGATCTGAAGAAAATTAATGAGTGGCCTGAAGGAAAGTGCTCTCTAAAAGCCACAAAAGCACTTACAGCTCCAGAGCATCAACCTCCTGGGAACCCAGAACTGGAGTCCAGGCAGCTCCCAGCTTACACACGCACCTAGACACTCCCAGTCAGGTACCATCACACAAATTTTAATAAAGTGCAGGAATGTTTCTTCATTGACTTAATTGTTAGTGAAAAAAGGAAGCAGAAAATTGCAATTGGGGTGGGTACTTACTACCACCCCCTGATGGTGGTTTGATGGCACTGCAGTGCCTAAAACATGACATGATTCTGCTTGGAACCCTTTGCAGTATACTTGTGGACACCTCTGACTAGAGACAATTGTAAACCAGTTTTTAATCAATGACACCCTTAAAATAATTCAGTGATATGTTTGCCCACACCATGTGTCTCATTTTCCCCATCTATTATTGGAATAGTGTCAGCTTCCATCATTGAGATGTGGGATAGCTGGGCAGAAAAGAGAATTTTGAAGCATCAGTGTTTTTAAGATTCAGGAATCCCTGGCAAAGTGCTATCAAATGCAATTTCTTATTTATTATCCATACTGCTTTGTTTGGGAAATCTCACAGGAACAGGGTTTTCTTGAAAGTATTGCAGTATTGTTTTCAGTCAAGGTGGATATAACAAAGAATTACAATGTCCTAAGATCTTGTGATCCTTCCAGTCTCAGATTTGGAAGTCCAGTTTTAGGAGGCGAAAAATCCTAAATGTACCCATTCAAATTTGTGGGAAATTATTACCTTCAAGCTCTGAATATCCTTAGTAATTAAAATGATAATTAAAATTAACTAATGAATACCTAAATTATGAGCTGTATTATTTAAATTACATTGTCATGTTTAACAGACCATTACTTTAATTTTAAGGGATTTCTAAGTCTCAAAATATTTAGCGATTTGCTTTGTAAAAGACTGAAAACTTTTGAACACTTTGTGAAGCATGAAAGAGTAGTCGTCTTATATAAGTACCTAAGAGAGTTAAATTTCTGATAACTTTCCAAAACTAGCTGGGCCATAAATATCACAAGCCTTTCTCTTAGGAATTTGGTATTTCCACTTCTGTCTGCAATAAGGAATTACACAGGTGTGTGACTGAAAATGAAATGTCTATTTACTGTTTATGTTCAGGCCTAAATAAACATAATCATAAGTAGCAACACTAATAATCACCATCAAGTTTTTACTGTATTATAATAATACAATAATAATTTACACAATTCTTACCTATTTTCCTCTTCAGAATATTATGTATAATTCTAAGGGATTAGTAAGTAAAGGTTGCCTGAGGCAAATATTCAGTTTGGTTCTTTTTTCTCCCCTGAACTGCTTTCTTCAGTTCTATCTAATGCTAATGTAATTGCAGATCCATTCTGAATATAACTTTGCAGTACTAACAAGAAAAAATAGAATTTCATATGTGCCTATAAAGATCATCATAGCATCAAAAAAGGAGTCTACATTTTGAATATTTATGTACATAGGGCTGGAAAAAATAAGTAGATAAAGCACTTATTTTTAAAGTACTAAAATACTATAAGTAAATAAATAAGATATTTATTTTGTAATTAATTAGTATATTATGTTAATAAAGGCATGTTGATACAATATGCAATGCATATTAATATATTAATAATCTATGAATAGTAACAACTAAGTAAAATACTCTAGCTAGAGCTTTAGGAAAGTTTTGGGGTTTTTTATGAATGTGGATGACATGTCAACATTCCATTTGCTTTCTCAGGTAAAATGTCTTTGAACAAAGAATTAGGCAACTTGACTTTATATTTTGTACCTAATACAAACCTATATTCTGTCCATTCAGAAAATGATACTGTGAAAATTACTGTGGTCTAAATCGCCACAGTTCTGCTGTCCATGTACTCAGTTTTAGAAGAGACTAGATCCCAAAATTTTTGAAGAAAACAATAAAAAGTAGTTACTTAATGTGTTATGATACCATCTGTGTTTACCACACATGATAGGATCTTTATAGTGTAAGGAGATTTTGTTCCTGTTTGAATTGCCTAAAATATTACACTGGTCTTGACCTTGGAAATGCTTCTTAAATATTTACTGTAGTTTAAATATAGTTGCAGTGCCAGAATAACTCCTTGCAACAGTATGAAATCTTAGGGTGCTTTCCATGTTAGGGTTTTCTAGTTCTTAGCTCAAGTTGCCAGCAAGAGCAGTTCACTGCTCTACATTCAGAAATTATTTGAGGAAATGGGTTTGTGTAGAAATGCTGAACCTTCTAGCACTCTATTGGTTTAAAATTTATTCCCAGAAGAGACACTTTAGAAATTCCATAGAGAGGCTGCTCTAAACTCTGCAGCACTGACTTACCTTCATCATCTTTGAGCTCTGGCAGCAATTAAAAACATCACAGCAGAGCTGTGGACATACCAGTGAGTACATACTCATTCACTCATGACTATAATGACTCCAAAAGAGAGCAAAAAATATGGCTAAAAACTGTCGGTTTGTTGGGGAATTACTATGATTCTTCAAAATAATTATAGATGTGTGAACAGAGATATATTCACCCAAAGCTATTTCTCGGAGTGAAAAGGTGTGAGTTTAAGTACATATTGCACATGTTTTAATCATCAGCCAAAAGCACTGTATATTAAAAATATTTGTCTCCACCACTAATAAAATTAAATGCAAAGTATACAGCTTAATTAATGATGACCATTGCATAGCAAGTCCACAAGATTCAGGACATTCAAGCTTTGAGCTGATACTCTTGCTGTTTAATATTTAGTGACTTAGAATATTATGATTGTCTTTCTATAACATAATTTTAATATTTTCTATATTCAGAAATAACAAGTGAAAGTCCTGGTATAAGTGCCTGTCAGAATTTGTCTTGAAGCACAGATAACAATCATTACACTACCCATGTAGTTTATGACATCAATAAGGACCTCCGATAAATTACAAGCCCTTAATACACACTGGGACCATCTATTACCTTATATTTATTTGTCTTGCCAACATTGTAGCTACAATACCTTTTTGATGCCAACATATCCTGCTATGAAAAATTACATATTTGTTTAGGGTGTCACTAGCTATAAACAAAAGCATAAACTATTGTAGGTTTATTTACTTTTACAGTCATTGAATCCTCTCTCATAGTGGTAGAAAAGTGTTCTTCCCATACAAGTTGACTACTGATGGTTCTAAACCCAGGCAGGTCAGAGAGAAATGGGGGGCTATGAGGAATAAAGTATGAAATTAGCCAGCTCTTTAAGTAAAAGAACTTTTAAAATTGATGTTAATTTTTTAAAATCAGAAAATAAATTCATATTGTGTAGATTAAAATATACATAAAAGCAATAAACAACAGCTTCACATACAGTCTAATGAGTTCTACTTCACTAAACATGATCAACTCCTGTCAGAGCATAATAATAATTCCTATGGGCAAGCTATAGCACAGTCACATGTAGCACTTGGCTGAAAATCCCTACAAGCAAGTTACTTCACTCTGAAAGGTGTATTGTTTCAAGCATTAAAATCCTGCTGCTCCGGCATAATCAGCTAAAACAACCAAGATCAATATTCTGAATTTAAAGGGTGTTATAATTCCATAATGTATTGAAAGACTGAACCACCTTAGGAAAAACAATTTCTCAAGTGCCTTTTTTTCTAAGAACAAAATGGAACACAAAACTGCAGAAAAAGTTGATGACATGTAAAAAACAAAAACTTCCAGAAAGTCTCAGTATTAGCGGAAGAAAACTATTGCGAGTTCTAGTAGCATATTAGATGCTTTTGTAACACAAAGTTAAACTTTAGACTCATTCTCTCATTCTGTTGAACTTTTTTTTTGGTTTGTTTTGCTTTGATATACAAAACTTAAGTTAATAAATAAGGATGTAAGAGGAAAGTCCAGAACATTTCAGTTCAAAGTAAGAATAGCATCACTTACCTAAAGATAGGTCTTTGGAGATGCTTTTTCTTGATTGTAACACAATCATCCATTTAAAGGGGGGAAAATGACTTCTTCCTGCAAATAACTCCAAAAAGCCCTGGGAGTAATCTGGAAACTTGTTCTTTGCTACTGTGCCGTAGAGAGCACACAGAATGATATTTTGGTGCTGGGGGAAGCTTCCCTCCCTCTCTCTGACAGTTGAACAAAAAAGGGCCATAGAGGCCACATACGACAGGCACGTCTGTGCAACTACCAAACCACACAGGCTGTACAAAAGCACTGGAGTCAAGTTGATCGAAGCAGGGAATTGTACTGGATTCCTTTCAACTGTACAAGGAAAATGTGAAACTTTGCCAAGTGTTACCCAGGTAAAAATGTGTTAGATTATTCCAGCCATGAGAACACTTCTTACACATGCTGGTCAAAGTCTTAAATGCAGAGTCACTCACTCTCTCTCTCTTTCTCTCTCTCTCTCTCTCTCTCTCTCTCTTTAAAAACACTGTTCTGAGGCTCAACTTTTTTTTCTTCAAAATAAAAGTTGTGCAGCTGTTTCAGCATTCCCATGTGAGTACCTTCAGAAAGTTTGTTCTGGTAAAAGAACTTTATACAAATTAATGAAGACAGATAGATCTGGTCTGTGAGGCTGGCTCTACTTCAAGAGATTGTAACTGTTTTACAATCTGGCTTTTATTCACTCTGCATGATGTGTGGATATAACTATGCAAATTAAAGCACTGCTCATAATTTTTGGCATTCATAACCTAATAACCTACAGTTGGCTGAAGCAGAATATGGTGTTTACAGCTGGTGGAACCATAACTACTCAAAACAGACCAGCCCTGTATGAGGTAAGAAAATAAAAGTGACTGAATTCACATGGCTCCATTAGTGCACTTCTATTGTTTACACCAAAAACTGCAATAGAGATTCAAGCTCGGGGAACATACAATGATGAAATCTGACTTTGAGATTACACCAAAATGGATCAGAAAGAACTCAGCTGAAGGTAATAGAGTTAAATTGGAGTAAGTGCTATTGTACAGAGATTATAGAGAAGATCATAAGCTTTTCTGAGGTGTGTAAAACTAGAGATTTATGATGTATGATTAGTTATGCAACACCACCAAAACCAAATTAAATCTGAGAGATGCTGTAAATAGAGCATAATCAAACATCAGGATAAGTCATGCTGAGATGCATCTCAGCTTGTAAAGAGTTTATGTTAAGAATGCATTGCTTGATACCAGTATCTATGATGGAGTTTACAAAAATTCCATAAAAAAACAGACATCATAGTCAGTGGGTTTTTATACTGTTCCTATTAAAGTGGTATCTGAGCAACTTAGTGGATCTCAGCTAGCTAGAAAGACAGACAAGTAATGTAGATGTATGCTACCTCAATAGACCATGAATTAAACTTTTATTTAATGTTTCCTTGAAAGATATCCCTTAGATCTATCATCTATCCCTCAATGAGGATCACTTCCTACACCAGTTCTTAAGGGGATACATTAAAAGAAAAAAATGACAGTCAAATGTTGATTTTTTTTCCACTGGTTTTCAATGATAATTGGACACCTAGCTACCATTAATGCCTTTTAAAAATCTATCCTAGAATTTAGGTTAGATATTAGAAAACACTTTCTCACTAGGAGGGTAGTAAAGCATTGGAACAGGTTACCCAGATAAGTTGTGAAGTCTCCGTCGTTGGAGGTTTTTAAGACCTGGCTAGACAAAGCTTTGGCTGGGATAATCTAGGTGGGGATGGTCCTGCTTTGAGCAGGGGGTTGGACTAGATGTGACCTCCTGAGGTCCCTTCCAACCCTAATTTCCTATGATTCTATGATATTTCTTATTTTACAGAAGAGAGAAGCAATCAATGCTGGATATGGTTTGGCCTGGAAACAATAAGCAACTGATTTACCTGCTATGACAAGTTCTTTTTTTTAAAATGGCTTGATTTAATTTAGGATGCTAATTTATCTTGTAAGGAGAAAAACAAGCACCTATTCAGATCCTGGTCAGTTACAGCCATCTAAATGTATAGCCAGAGGTCTCTAATTATTTTTCTCTCACTTAAGGTTTTCCTCATACTGCAGTTGAACCCACATACCAAGAGAACATTACCACATTTACTCAAATTGAAGACAAGCCCCCCCCCCCCACTATTTAACATGGAAAAAAGCCCCTTGTCTTTGGATTTGAGTACTAGGTGGTGGGAGAGGCAAGGTGCCTGCTGCATTTCTGGCACTGGCCCAGAGTTGGGACCACAGCTGCACCTGCAACCTGCCTCCCTCCCCCCACAGCCACCTCTGAAGCCCCATTACCAGGCCTCCCCATTACCTACCCCTGCCCCGCCCCCACACACACAGCCTGACCCATTGCCTAACCCAGGCACTGCTTTCCCTGCTGAAGTGGTTGGGGGATGAACTTAAGGCAACCCTTCAATAATTAGATTCTATAAATGGAAAATTATAATAAAGTTATCAGTGTTCCATGTATAGAATCTAATTACTGGGACAGCATCTTAGATTCAGATTCATTTTGGATTTGGGTAAATGTGGTATCTTTTATGTATCCCTATTTTGAAAAAAATACCTTGAGGATCTGTGTGTGGAGTTGCATAGTTTTTTATCGTTCCAGTGAGACAAGCTGCAGCTGGACATAAGGAATAGATCTTCTGGGTCATCCCAAATGATGAAATCTATGAGGCCAGTGGAAGGCCCCAGTAAGGAGTAGATCAGTGACTTTCAAACTTCCTAAAGTCACAGAACTCTTTCATGTCACTTCTGTCTGTTGTTGAACCCGTCTCTGGCTCCACAGGCTGCTTGAGCTAACACACAGCCAGGTGACCCAGCCTGGAAATGGAGCTGTTCTGCCATTACACCTAATCTTTTTGCAGAGCCTCTAATGACCCCAGGGTTTTGCAGAACACCATCTGAAAACCACTGAAGTAGATCAAATATGACTTTCCTTTTAGAGGCTCTACTCTCCCTTCCAGCAGTTGTATGACATTCATTGAATAAATCAGTTGAGAGAGCTGGGAAAATTCTGACAAAGAAAAGTATAATGGAAAATATAAACAAATGTTTCTAAAAACAATTTTGTTTTTTCTTGGTTTGTTTAAAATTGTTAAATGTTGTTCAGTTATAGTTGTGCCCCTCCCCACCTCTCCAAAACTATTAATAGGTGTTGTATCACTTAAAACATTATGCTAGTTTCTCCAGTGAGGGGCTTTTCACAAAGATTAGCTAGATTAACTAAAGCTCTCATTTATAAAGAAGACTTCCATGTTGTTCATATATCAGGGGTGCTCAACCCCCAAGCTGTGGCCCAAATTTGGTCTACAGAACCATGTGATCCAGCCCACAAGTCTCCCCATGGGTCTAGAAATTTGGCAGTGGGAAAGTGGTTGTAAGTAACACTACCACCACTCTGCCACCACCAAATTTCCAAGCCCCATTTGACCAGATCTGCTTCAGCCAGGGCTCCCCATGCAGAGGGGTCAGGCTCTATTTCCACATGGCTGGACAGAGTCATTGCCCAATCCAGACAAGTGGAAACGGCCTGGCTAGAGCCCAAGCCAGCTGAATGGAAATGGCCAGGGCTAATGCAGCCACATGGAAATCATCCAACCATGGCTAATGTAGATGTGGGGTGCCAGCTGGGGTCTAATGTAGCTGCACAAGATTGGGCTCCTGGCAGGCCCTTCCCATGTGGCTGAATCAGGCTGCAGATGGGTCAGGACCACACACTGGATTGGGCCCACAAGTGGGATCTGGCCCACAGATAGACCTGGGAACACTCATCCAGTCCACAGGCTGAAAATGTTGGGCACCACCGGTATATATGTTTTTCAACATGTTTTTAAGTCTTTGCATATAAATATCAAGTAGATAAACAAGGTAATTTAATTTTCTACCACAACAGGAATGCTTTTGTTTGAAGCAACTATTACAATGCCTCTCAAAAACTCTTTTACAGGTTATTCTTTCCCGACTTCCATTGCCTCAGATTAATCAAGCTGGTTGTAGTTAGAATGGTGAAAATACACTTATATGTGGATGCTTTAGGGATCCCTTATTGAATTCTCAACCCCTGAAAGAAATTCATGCAAACAACATCTCACTTCTTTATTCCCCAATTAATTTTCAATTATTGATGACACTGTGGATGAAAATAATGTTACCGTTTGCCATTCACAAAACCTGAGTTTCTCCAATAACAAGAACTAAACATCCAAGTACTTTTAAAATGTAATTCTATTTTTAATCCAAGTGACTGCATATGATCACACTCCAAATATTGTTCCTGCATTTGCCTTAATGCCACATAAATCTTATTTTATGTAGCTCTTTCCCAGGATTTTGTCCCCTTTTTTGTACATGTCCTGGAAATGTAGTTACAATACTTACCCTATTTTAATTTCTTCTCTTCAACATTTTAGTTGCTCATTTAATAAAAAAGAATTTGTATGCGTCTGAGAAGCTTACTGTCTTTCTGTTCCAGTCTTGAAGGGAAAGACACCCTACCCTCACTCAACTAAAGAGCCAGCTAATTTTCTTATTGCTTACTCTGCATTAGGGGACTACAAAACTGTAGTTTGTTCTGTGGTTTTCTTCAGGTTATTCAACTGGGAAGAAGAGGCCTACCCACCTCCCCAGAAATGACAGGGCATTTGGGTCAGTTATATGACCCATGTTATATCACTACCCAGCTCTTTCTACTGCCTTGGCTACTTTTCCAACAGTCTCTTCTTGGGGCATGGTCACAATGTTATGGGGAATTCATATTAGATAATCCTGATAGAATGGGAGTAATTTGCTTCTATAATCTCCAAACCATTTAGAAAGGAAAAATGCCCAAAAGAGCATTCATATTCTGATTTTTCCTACCAAAAGGAAAAGAGTGTTCAAAATAAAAATCTAGATTTGGAAAAACTGCTGCAATCTGTCATGCCTCATGTCCCTATTTTTTTCTGTGGGCCAAGTTCCTAAGTGGGCTACATCGCCCATAATTCACCACATCTAGAGACTCCAAGAATGCAATATTGTATCTCATCAGTAGAGGGGACCATGGTGTATCACAGGAGATGTTGTATAGCCAGAGACCAACCAATCGAGGATAAAGAGGATGGGAGGTACCACAGGGGCATGCCTAAATTAAATTTTTCACTTTTCATCTAAAGCTTATAATTGAAAAGCTTTACTTTTATATTTCTTGCTGAAAAATCTAACCTTCCTAAAGAGGGAAAGAAAACCTCTAACCAATTCTGTCCATTAGGTTTAAAAACTTGGATGTAGGTACTTAACTCTAGGCATCTAAGTTTGACATTTGGGGTTTAAATCCATTAAATGTCATAGTTTATGTTTAACATCCATGGGATTACAGGCTTGAAAGGTTACCCTCTCTCTTGTTCACTCACTAAAAGAAATAGAAAAATATGAGAATTAAATTAAAAATATGTACTTATTCTCTAGAATACCTAAAATAATACTACATCTTATGTGTTTTATTAACAAAATATAATTTCACCTTTTGCTATAGTACTTTGACACTACTGATTCTATTTAGTAAATGTCTAAAGTAATTCAAGTATGTCATACAATCTTTAGTAAGCTAAAAATTCTTTTTAGACTAGAAAATCAATTATAACCTGGGCTTCTATTAATAACATATATGCATGGATATGCCATGTGCACAGGGCATAAAATTCACTTCACCTGTATAAAGCCTGAGGTTTTATTTTAATTTTCTGCAAGTGATAAATGGAGAAGGTGAGGAAGTGAAATTCATCTTCCCCAATTCACAGTCACAATATGGGTCTGTCTTGCTGGACTCCCCGTAAGCTTGAGTAGCAGTCATAGCCACTTCATGCCAGCTGTGGTGAGACCACTAGTTAAGATCCACAACTTCTCCTCTGACCTGCTTCAAAAATACCTGATGTACCTGTGCATTTATAAATTTTACCTATAGTGTGGTGCTCCAGGCTGTTCTTAAACAGTCCTTCTGCCTAAACCAGTGGTTCTCAACCTTTAGACTCAAGGTACCCTGTAGAAAATGGTAGCTCTCAGCTTCTGCTCTTTTTTAACTACAGAATTATAACGGAGAAATCCTGTTGACACTAGGAGTTTCCATCTGGTTTTATCTTGAGATTCGTGTTTGTACACCTAACAGTGCTAATATTGTGTGACATTCTGCAGCACCCTTGAAGGATCTCAAGGGTCCCAAAGGTGCCACAGCACCCTGATTGATAATTACTGGACTAGCCCATATGTGATCATGCAACTGGATGACAACTTGGAACAGTCTTAATGTAGGGCTTAAGTGATATAATGGACTTTGTGCTGGACCACTACACAAAGAATAAAAATTATAAGTGCAAAAATGCATCAAGTACAGCATGTTCTCAAAATATAGTACTTACCATCTCAAATTGAAGGTCAATAATATTTTACAAGATAAATTATAGTTACCCATATTTTCCAAAGGGCATACCCATATTCATCAACAAAATCCATCATGCTGTTTTTCCAACAAACAACCATGCTGTGTCTACATTGAACTGACTGCACTCTACATAGATAAATGTGTAGGACAATTTGAATGTATTTATTTGTGTTGATATCAGCAACTGGAAAAAAAATGCTCTGAAACTTAACCTAATGACTTCTCTGAGTTTGTAGAACGAGGCAGTACCAGAGATAACTGAGACTCATTCAGGCTCAGTATAGAAAAGTTGGCAAACTAATTCCTGGTTATACTGTAGTACATGTGGTAACGTTCTGTGCAAATGTAAATGTCTTTAAGACCTGATTTTCTTCTTCACCTTTCATAAATATGGGTACTTATAAATTAGTTTTAAATCTCACTCTCTTCCTTTTTCTGTTTCCAAATATATATACACACAAGAGTGCAGAGGCTGTCAAAATCATATAGAAAATTAATTTCCCTACTAAGACCATCCAGCTTATATGAGAGCACTGTGACTCCAGTTCATGGAGTTTCACAGTCCTTAATATTTGCTTTTTGTCTCAAATTTGTATTCCAAACAAATTCTTGAAGTTGTATCAGAAAAATCTGTGAAATTGGCTATCTGTAAATCTCCACAACCTCTCACTATGTGTGTTGCTGCCTTGTATGCATGGGTCTGGTATTCTGCAAGCCTGTCCCTTTCAGCCTGACCTTTTCAGAGCATACCTCCCAGGTTTCCTTGTGTTTTTCAAGGGTTCTTTGGGACACAGCCTGTCATTGTATGCTATATCCTTAAAGAAAAAGTTCCCATGAATATCTTTGGGCAAGAAGGGTAGACTGAGGTATGGAACATGACTCGATACCGAAAATTAGTAATGAAATCAATCTTTCTTAATACAACCTTTAGCAGACTACATAGGCAGTTAGATACTGGAGAAATTTTTATTTATTTGTAGTTCAGTCCTTTTTAGAAGTGGAATACATACCAATAAAGCCAATTTATGCCCTTACATCAGTGATTCTCAACTGGGGTACCACAGCTCTACCGTGTCTTGAGATCCTTCCAAGGATGCCATGGAATGCCAAGGAGTGTTAGCACTGGTAGGTTAGCAAACATGATTCACATGATAAACCCAGAGGGTGCCTGTACATAAGAATGGAGGCTGCTCCAATGCACTGCAATTACAGGCCATTGGAGCAGAATCAATTAATCGAGTCTGCTGGAATGTGGTAATTACCAAGCTCCAGTAGCCTCCCATGTCTCACATATCAGCAACCCCGTGCTTCAAAATGGTGATGGGGGAGGATGAACTAAAGCTTGTCAAGTTAGTCATTAGGACTTGGCCACTCAGTTAAATAGCTAACCAGTCAGATACAAACAAAGGGTCTGCAGACATGGTATGATCCACAGATTAAAATTCATTGTTTCCGTGGTATACCATGGGTCTTCAGCGCCCAGGGGCCAATACTTCCATTTGTGCCTCCCCCCCCCCTCAGTGGCTAATTGCCAAGTGTGGGGGGGGCACCCAATTGCCAAGCCCAGAAATGCTGGTCGTGAAACCAGAAGTGCCTCCAGGGGACTGAGTACCCCCCAGGGGGGCCAGCTAGCACCCCCCCAAACCGGAGCC